TTGCAAGGGAAGATGGAAGAAACTCTGCATTACTGATACATAGCTGGTTTTATTCAGTGTCAGATGTTTGTGCTTTCATTTTGTTTTGTTAGTTTCACTTTAAAACCTTAATAAGCAGAGCATGAGACTGAATTAGATATTAAACTGTAAATGTATTATATTTTGTATGGAGAAAGTTTGGAAGTCTCATGATGGAATTTATACAGTGGAATTTATATATAGCTATGTAAATACGTTTCTATTCTTTATATTTATCTCTTAGATATAATCAATTTTATCAATGTTTATGAGTGATCATGGGTCACCATCTTTCTTTGTCTCGAGCTAACTTGATGATATCACTGTCTTTCAGTGTTAGGTTGTCAATCCACTTCCCCAGGCTAGTAATGTACTTTGAACTTTACTTTCTTTAGTCTCCTTTTTCCTTTGATTTTTCCTGTCAATATTTGATATTTTAAGCCTTCTTTACGAATGACATGCTCTAGGAATTTTATCTGTCTTCTTCTGATGGTTTTTATAAGATATTTCTTGTATTTACTCTTTATGGCACTTTTTCATTTGTAACATTTTCAGTTCATACTATCCCGACCATTCTTTTGCAGAACCACATTTCATTGGCTTTTAACTTCTCCATAACCCCCTTTAGTTACAGTCCAACATTCGCATCCATATAATAGCATAGATCAAACATAACATTTTAAAACTCGAGTTTGAGTGGTCATATAAATATTCTTGTTCTTCAGAATTGGGCTCATTTTTCGGAAAGCAACTTTTGTCATTCCTATTATTTTCGTTATTTCTTCTTTGCATTGCTTACATATTTAAATTTGTAATCTTGCTTTATTTTATCTCTTTGCTTTGTATATTCCAGTGTTGTATTATTTTTCTTTGATATTACCACACATTCAGGTTTTTTCACTCTGAGGGGTAAACCTTTGACCTCACTTTCAAGAGATGTTGCAGATATGATTTTCATCTTACTACAATTTAAACCGTGTCATCTGCATATCGGAGATTGTTCAAATTGTATACCCCCACATTTACCCTAATTCATGTGTTCAATGTTTTTTAGAATATTTTCACTACAGTTGGTTAATAAATCAAGTGATCAAAAACACATCCTTGTCTCATTCCCCTATTTATTTTTCTGAAGTCATTCAATTCGTCATCTATTTTCATTGCTGCTGTTTGATCCCAATTTAGGTTTCTGATCACACGAAGATCTTTGCCGACAGAATCTAAATTCTCAAATTAGCGAAACAGTTCATCATGTTTTACTTTATCAAAAGCTTTCATACAGTCAAGAAAACTCTTTGACCTTCCATTGCTCTTTGTACGAGCAGGTGTAGAATAATTGTGGCATTTCTACTTCCTTTATCCTCAACAAAACAATTTTATTCTGCAGCTCTTTGTAGTCTTATCTTATTTCGTGCTCTCATCATGAGAATTTGGAGAAGAATCTTAGTTATGTGATTCATTAGGATGACCGTGCGATGTAATTCACATTCAGTTATTTCTTTGGTAAGGAAACGAAAACTAATCTAATCAAGTCTATGGGGATTTCACCACTGTCATATATCAAAGTTTCTGTCATATCTATTCCAAATTCATCCAAGACTTGAATCATTTCAACAGATTTTTTATCTGGACCTGCTGCCTCTCCATGTTTCATTTTTCTACATGCGTGTCTTAATTCATCTTTTAAGACGATTGGCCCATCAATCTTCTTTTTTATTTCTGGTTTATTACCTATATTGTCCTCAGAAAGCTCTTCAGTATAAACAGTTCACCTATTTAAAACGTTTTATTTCTGCATTAAGATGTTGCCATCTTTTGCCTTTATGCATCCACTATTGCATCCTTATTTTTTATGAACATATTTTTTATTTGTATTCCAATTATTTTCTATTTATTGGCATTGATGATGCAGCCATATTTCTTTTGCTTCTTTGCATTTCTTTTTGTCTTCCTTATCTAATCTCTTATACATCTCTGGGTTTTGTTTTGGTAATCTTCTAGTTTCTATGAGGTTTAGAATGTCTTGTGTCCTCCATTTGTTTTTATTATTTTTTACTTGTTTGAGGATAATATATTCTGTCGTTTATATAATAGATTTTTTCGGTTGTTCACACAGAGAGTCTACATCCATTACATCTGCTAGGGAGCAGAATTTAATCTTTTCAGTGACCGTGTATTTTTCTTTCATCTCTGAATCTGATTTGAATAAATGAATTTGGTGTTTTGTTTTCTGCTCCCACCTCAAAACATTCTTGACCTTTATCTTTATTTCACAAATCACTAGGACACGATCACTTCCACAATCTTATCATGAAGCTGTTTAACCACATTAAGTGACATTTCTAAAACGTTTATTGATAATAATAAAATCAATCTGGTTTCTTGTGCAGTTTCCCGGACTTTTTCATATCCACAGCCTTCGTCGGTGATTATGAAACTAAATGTTTGCAATCATTAGATTACTGCTTCTGCACCATCCAGGGCTTGTCCCCTCCGTCTTTCTTTGAGTCCAGTCCATATGGCCCTATGATATCACCGAGTCTCTCATATCTGATTTTTACATTAAAAGTTACTCATGACTATAATAATTTCCTTTGATCTGCATTGTTTCAAACCTTATTGAGCTGTTTCTAGAACTCATATATAGTATCCTCATCCTGTTCGGCTGTGGGAGCATAGACCAGTATAACTGAGATGTCAAATGGTTTTCTCCTAACCTTGACGATCATTACCTTATCTGAAATAGCATAATAGACTTTCATTTTGCTCTTTATCTGTCTTGCCTTATTCCAGTTCTTCTTTCATAATATTCACCCCCTGAATACAAAGATGCGTACATTTCTGAGGTAAGAGATCCTGTTCCTTTCTACTTGACCTCTGATATGCCCATGATGTTCATTCTCTCCATCTATTTCTTTATGTTGTCTAAATTTCCTTTTTGAAACAATGTCCTTACATTCCAAGTTACAATTATCATGTTATCTTTGTTGCAAACATTGGCTGGGTGACGTTCTTGTATCACCTGTTGCTCATTATAATCACTATATAGCGAAGTGTTCCAACTCCCTTTACGCTGCTATCTTTATCTATGTTTCTGTGAGCCATGATATTATTTGGATTTACAGCAGTGATTTCTCGTTACCTTCCACCGGTTTTTTCGGTTTACTCCAATTAGCCTTTGACTAAATAGGCACCAGGGAAGGGATTTAGGGTTACTTGTGGGTACTCCAGTTTCGCTCATGACTGTCCCTTCTCTAGGCTTATGAGCCATTTAAAGGAATATCTGCACTCCCAGATATCCGATCTCGCCCTCTACGTCAACCACCAGTTCGTCCGTGGCTGCTTACTAATTATTCACAGCTAACCTCTATAACTAGAGGCCATTCCACTATTTGTCATGCATATTCTGGAAAAAAAGTTTATGGACTTAACTAGGGTGATATTGTTTACATTTTGTTACGTACATAACTTGATTTTAGGAGTTTTATCTTGGCTGACGGATAAAGTGAATAACCATTATGTGTAAGGTACATCCATTTATAATTATATTGTTTGAGATAATGTTGACATATCGAGGATAAAATATGAAAAACACGGACAGATGATTTTATTATTCCAGTTTAATAGTAACTAGAATTTATGTAATGGTGTAATAACAGATGTAAAAAGATCGCTGTTTTAAATTAGAAGGGTTCTAGTGGTTTGGTTTATAACTGAAAGCAGGGCTATTATCAGTTCAGCTGTTATTGGAAGTACGAAAAGTGTTTTTTTGAAATTTGACTATTTTTGGTTAAGAATAGATAGGTATTTTTTCGTGCGTTCTTAGAGTTTACCTTATTTTAACCGTACATATTAAAATTGAAATGACACTTGTGGAAATTTTATATAACACGGTTGTTAAAAGAAACCATCATTTAATGGTTTTGTTTGTTTATTTGTTTTGAATTTTGCACAAAGCTACACGAGGGCTTTCTGCACTAGCCGACCCTAATTTAGCAGTGTAAGACCACCAACAACTCTTAGGCTACTCTTTGACCAACGAATAGTGGGATTGACCGTCACATTATAACGCCCCCACGGCTGAAAGGGTGGGCATGTTTGGTGGGACGGGGATTCGAAGTCGAGCGCCCTAACCATCTGGCCGTGCTTCATTTAACAGAACAACATAAATATTTAAAAATGATAATGTCTCTAATTTCAAACTACAATAAACCATTTATTCAATAATTTACATATAAAAATGGAAATTTGGGGCTTAGGTACAGTTCTATATATTCTGTCTTCATTTTTATTATATTTCATTATTTAAATTGATTCGCGGATATTATTAACAATAATGCTCATAAACCGTGCCAAAATAACAGTTTTTTTCCCCCCTTTGAATGGTGTGTTTAGTTTCAGCTGAACATACTATTGAAAGTAAACAAATTAATCAATGGGACAAAACTGTTGTTTTGGCATAACCCATGAGTGTGAACTCTAATAATATTTGCGAATCTATTAAACAAATCAAATGTAATAAACATAATTTGAGCCATTTGGATAATTTTGGGTATTTATCCGCTGGGCTAGTAGCCTATTTCATAAACAAGATACAAAATTAAACATATTTAAGCATACCCTATGTTTTTACTGGCTTTTGAAAACTCTTAAGATCACGTTACAATTGTAGACTATTTCTCGCTGTTGTTTTAGAGTTCAACATCATTGGCCCCCCAGTGGCACAGCGGTATGTCTGCGGACTTATAACGCTAGAAACCGGGTTTCGATACCCGTGGTGGGTAGAGCACAGATAGCCCATTGTGTAGCTTTGTGCATAATTTCAAACAAACAAACAATCAACATCATTGTAGCAAAATAGCAAAATTGAAAGGGAATTGACTTTTACAAATATATTTTTCTATTACAGACCTTTCAAACTTTTAAATTATTTATGAAATATATTTAATTAATCTTTATTCTATCTCTAAGTGAAACTTTTCTTACCTCATTTGGTGGCCATGAATTCGACAGAGGTCGTCATATTTATGGTAGATGGCGCCAAACAGAAGCAGCGATTCCAACCATTCAATGTGAACTGTTAGCTGCCCGTTAGTTCCCAAATATCCGTTAGACGTATTTCGAATCTAGGAATTTCAAATATAATTAATACATTACACATGCAATTTAAGTATTACGACTCGTTTATTAGAAAGCTGTATTAATTGCTCAAACTGTTCTCGAGATTTATTAATTCATATTACGGTTTTGTTAATATTTGGAAACGCAATATCTTGGGGTATTCATGAGTTACCATACAGTAAGTAAATCTCATTAGGATATATATATTACACATGAAAATGTCACCAAACGCAACATATATAAAAACTTCTTCAGATCAAGGAAAACAAACCCATCTGAAGAACGTTTTATTAGAAAATCAAAAATAATATTTTTTTTCATAAAAAAGAGCCTAATGATAGTTAAAACACGACGTTAAACGAGGCATCTATGTGTATGGGTTTCTTACTTAATACTTTCCTGTTATCTTAATTCTAAAGCTGTCAACAATTTTTATTTACCTTGATTATGGAAATATCTGAATTTTCCCATGTGCTTTGACTTCAAAACTGACTGATACTTTATAAATACCGTAATTCTGAAACTGACCGCTTCTTTTTCTACATTAATTATAAAACCGACTTAAAATTTTATGAAACTTTTAATCTAAAAAAGGGACAGATACAATACTCATTTCTTGATTTTGAAATCCAGATATTGTTCTAACAGTGGCTGATACTTTTTTTACCTTAATTCTGAAAATCAATAATACTTTACGTGCCATTAACTCTAAAAATTACTGATACGAGCCGTGTAATGTTTAATTTGATTCACTTCATTCAAAAGCCTAATGAGAACATAATAGCTTCGAGATTTAAATAGAACACAATCTCTTTCTACAACTATTAGAAGTGGCGAACACTGAGTTTATTATAAGATTTATTACTGAAAGTTTGATAAAGTAAGTATAAAGGTCGCTAGGTATCTTTATCTTTTGATTACTATTTTGATAGGCTTCTGAGCTTAAGAATGAAGTGTAGACGTTGCTATGGTTAATCGTACTACTTAAGAATTGACGTTATAGATGCAGTTATAAAGTATCTAGGAATATACGTACGTAAGGCGAAGCAGAAACAATTATCCTTTAAAGGTAAACTGCCACAATCAGTCATTATTATCTAATAATAAAAAAATAAAGGACGCAATGTTTTACATCCAATATATATAAACATAATCAGCCAGTAAAGAAAAGTTAAGCCTACTTGTTATAATTTGAGAGAGAAATAAGTGAACTTCAGACAAATAACGATGATGATCATCCAGAAACTGTCCTACGGGCATATACGTTCAAAAGCAAAGACAAATCATTGACTCAGATGTTCGAAGAGTAAAATCAGCTACCGTTGACCATATGTTTGACTAGCCTACAGCAACAAGTATGACTCTGTCATCCTGCTGGCTCGTTAGCGTGATAGTATTGACCTGCTGTTATAAATGATTCTATTTCTTTTTTTTGCACTGACATATTAAAACAGTTCAAGTTTCAGAGATTTTTGTTTCGTCTTCACGTCCATCAAAATATTTTGAAATTGTATCTTTCTCTTTTTTTTTTTTAGTACGTAATGAGAAACATTTTTCAAAATGTTATAATCCTTTACCAAATTGAATTCACGGAGAGTATAACATTATCGATTAGATTCAGAAAACTTTATTAATACATTTAACAAAACTTTCGTAAACAGCTAACTAAAATCGATAAGATTAACGGTTTGCGATTACGACTGATCACTAGCGGTACTGGTAAATTAGCGGGTTGTAATAACAATTCCAAAATTAATCCAATTACTGCACTTTTTTGATGATCCTGTCTTTACGCTTACGATCGTATCGTGTTGTCAAATTAGTCTGAAGCCTAATCGGCTCACCAGATTACTATACTGATAGTTTTACCCACTGAAAAGGACATTGTTCCTGATAAGGGAGTAATCACTTGGCTGGGGGTTTTTAAATATAGTTTTTCCTTGATGAAATTATTGTTTCATAGCACTACACAAGCCAAGTAAAACATTATCACGATAAACTTGTAGAGAATATTTTATCGGATATTTATCTCAGTAAGGTATATGTACAATATAAGAACATGAAGAAACTTAAGTCGGATATTTGTCACAGTAAAGCAGACATTATTAAGACAACCGTCTTGAAAAATGCGGAAAATGTCTTTATGTCAATAAGTTAAACGTTTCAAGAAAAACTTGTAGAGAAACATATAGCTCCAGCAGCAGTAGCTAATGTACCCGTTTACAGACACTTAGCAATTATTAAATATCCATCTTAGTGGATGATGTATCTGTTTACAGAAACCAAATTAATGTAATATTTACTGTCAATAATGGATGCACTTTACTCCTGTAAAATCATGTTTATCAAGCCGGAAAATTCACAATTTTAAGAGAATAACTGAATTACATTTCTATTAACTGAAATGTAGTTGCATACTTTTTGTTCTATTATAGTCATAATGAAATAAATCTGTGGTTGGTTTTTAGACAAGCGCACTCGTCCAGATGTCGTAGCTAACTACAGTAGGTCTAGATAGAAAAATGAAAGCTTTTATGTTTATAGACGCGTTCTTAGGGAAAATGTAATGAATATTTTGAGCCATTGCTGCACAAACACTATGAAGATACAACGTTTGTTTAGGAGAGGAGTAAAACTGAGTAGCAAAGAGTTACTCGAGCAGTGCGCGTTTGAAAAAAGTAGAGTTGACTTTAAACAAATACTATCAAGATACAACGTTTGTTTAGAAGAGGAGTAAAGCTAGGTAGCAAAGAGTTACTCGGGCAGTGCGCGTTTGAAAAAAGTAGAGTTGACTTTAAACAAATACTATCAAGATACAACGTTTGTTTAGGAGAAGAGTAAAGCTAGGTAGCAAAGAGTTACTTGAGCAGTGTGCGTTTGAAAAAAGTAGAGTTGACTTTAAACAAATACTATCAAGATACAACGTTTGTTTAGGAGAGGAGTAAAGCTAGGTAGCAAAGAGTTACTCGGGCAGTGCGCGTTTGAAAAAAGTAGAGTTGACTTTGAATCAGACTTATCTTATTATACGAATAGAGGTCAAAATCTCTGGGAACAAGCCACTATACTAGACGTTTAAGTATAAGTTGAGTGGTGAAATAACGTGTTTGAAACATTGAAGCTGAAACTGTTTAATGAAGTTTACCATGTATTTTTGTCATTATATATATGTGTGTGTTTGTACTAAAGAACAATAAACTTTCAATAAAATCAAAACAATTTAAAAGCAGTTAACTAACACACGTGTAGGAATGCATTATTCGGCTAGTTATCTTAAATTTCATTTGTCATGAAAAAAACAAAACCAGCGAATAGTATTCTTGCCTCTTTGCAGCGTACAGTATTTCATGAATTTATTAGGTGGACAGAATTCGCATTGAAGTAAACGACACATTTAAGAGAAGAATAACTCACCATTTCTCCTTCGTGTAGCTTTATGTTTCCAACCTACATCCTGCACATTGTATCCTACGAATGCCAATCATGCTACTTCTAATTGTTGTGTGATTACACAAAGAAAAGAGGAATTTATATTATGCAGCGGTATGTTCATGTTTCTTTCTAAGTACTTTGAAAGTGACAGTGTGTTATGTCAGTTCCCATATCCATACTATTTCTGGAGTTTTCACAGTGAAAGTACATTCTGTCAGCTCTCATGATTTTAATGCTTTCTTGATGCTCTGAAAGAAATAATGCCTTCTATCAGTTCTCAGGTTCATATTTTACTACTTTTTTGATGATTTAAAACTGAAGCTGTGACTGCTTGCAGTATGGAGACCGTAGAACTGAAAGGTTATTTTCTTCTCTCTAAACTTACTGGACATCACTGGCCTAAATTCGATGTCCAGTCCTCCTCTGCAAGTCAAATCTATGCCAATGTACTGAGATTGATATGACTATCTTCTACTCGTAAACCTCTGAATCAAAGATTTAGTACTTCAGTAATTTGAGTACAACCTCAAATCCATTAATATATAAGTCAAGACCAGAAAGAAGAATATTTCAAGATAAAATGAAAGCATGATGGAAAATATAATCCTAGAAGGTGTGGTTCCAAATCAAGGATCTCGTGTAAGGAAAGAGGTTCTTTATAGGGATCTTATCATCGATGGGTTGGAGATTGCCTCGATAGAAGAACAGTGACAGATTGTCAAACGCTATGGTGACAGCAACATGAAGTGACAACTTCAAATTTCGATGTATGCTCAAAAAATGAAGACGTTTATTTCACAACTGTATTTTGGAACATAAAGTCATTGAGACATCGAAACGTTGATATAAAATATATCTACGCTGACGAAATTGGTTTACAACTGAAAAATTATCCACGGGAAAGATGAAAAATAATAAGTTCGAAACTAGCACGAGACAGATAGAACAGTCCCCCGGTGAGGCAGAGGTAAGTTTACGGATTTACAACGCTAAAATCAGAGGCTCGATTCCCATCGGTGAACACAGCAGATAAATCCCATGTGGCTTTGCTATAACAAAATACACGCACGCATAGATACAAAGAAAAGTAATTAAAGGAATGACAGTATTCTATCAGACCTTATTACATTTCACGTGTACAATATCAGTTGCAAAATCTAATGCAGGTTCTCTGGATGAGTTTAAGCACGTCAGGGCGTACGTCTAGAGATAACAACTTTCACTGTGGAGCTAAAATCCCATCATCAGCAACCCAAGCATATACTTCCTCTCTGCTGGTCACCGTATCTTGAAGAAACGGATTAATAATAGAATATGATATATATATATATATATATGAGCACCGTTTGCTGGAAACATTGTTCAAGCATGGCTGATTCGAAACATTTGAATCTTCTCT